CTTTTCATTGATATAAGATAATGATCGCAAAATTTATTTTTAGTGAAAATATTTGCTAACAAAAAAACGCTGTTTATGAAAAATAATATACAGGATGGTTGAACATTGCTATAAGTATAAAATTACATATTCAGATATTAGTAAATTTTAACTTTTTTTCGATTTTTGTCCATGGGACGAAGCACTGTGCATCGCATTGACGAATCACATCAAATCGACGCATGAGCGCATAGCGAGTATGGTGCTTTAGTGTCCATGGAAACACCTATTAAACGACTTTAGTATATGTACATTATTATTTAATCAATTACCTATCAACATTCCTAGTGACCGTATGTACAGGGTGGTCCGAACTGTATTCCGGAAACTTTGGCAGCATGTTCTGTAGATAAAAATAAGTAAAAAAGTTCGTATAAATGTATCTCCTAAAATGCTTAGTTTCGTAGATACAGGGTGTAGAAGTTTCATTTTTATTTCGATTTTTCCAAATAATTTATGAAGTAACGTCAATATTTAGTTGAAAATTGGTGTCTGGAAGTTTTTTGACATGAAAAATTTGATTTTGATGTCAATATGACTCCTATTTATAGGGGGCTCCACCTGCATGTGTTTTAACTGTTTTGAAGAGTAATAATTTTTTGTCCGTACCTGTATAAAACTACTGAGTGAAAAAATATACATTTTCGTGATTTTTTACGTAAAAAATATACTTGCATATGCAAGAAAAATTGCAGCAACTTTTCTTGCATGTATAACGGCCTTTATACTGCCAGACCAAAGCCAAGGGAGTATTGGTCTTGTTTTTGCACATCACTAGAAACTGTTACTGTCATGTCAGTCAACTGTTGCTTGATACAGTTGGACAAACTATACTCTTACACATTTTACTTTTTATTTCTCGCTACTGAATTCTTCATTATTTTGCAACAAAGGGGAACGAACATTGAAATTATTTTAAGTTAAATAAAATTATTCATAGAAAAGTCATATAATAATAATAATAAATTGTTGCAGGTTCCGGAAGCGGTGCCGACGGCGACTATCAGCTGGTGCAGCACGAGGTGCTCTACTCCATGACGAACCAATACGAGGTGCTCGAGTTCCTGGGCCGCGGTACCTTCGGCCAGGTGGTCAAGTGCTGGAAGAAGGGCACCAACGAGATCGTGGCCATCAAAATACTCAAGAACCACCCGTCCTATGCTCGACAGGTAACTATCCAGACCCAGGATTCGATTATAGATTGCGTATTGTATGCGAGGCGGAAAATTAATCAACGCAACCTTATGGATCTATTTTGTTCTTCTTTCTTGAGATATACCCATCATCCAGTCTAGTTCTCCGCCTTCGATCAGTATCGATATCAGTAGTGCCAAAGTTTATGGCACGAATCGTTGTCGTTTCGGTGCAATCAGTGATGATGTGTTCTGGTCTTTCCCCATTTTTCACACAGAATCTGCATTCGCCGTTGTTTCTTAGCTTCAGTCTACTGAGGTGTACATATTGAGAAGACAGTTTCCTGTTAAAAATCTCGTGACAATCCGACAATCCTCTGAGAAATCCCTTCGAGTGTCTTAGACCGTTGGAGGATTCCCATTCCCGGTTACGGATGGAGTCTTCCAAGTTCTTGAGTTCCGCTTTAAGTTGATTTCCACTCGGGAAGCAGAACGGTTCTGGTCTAGTTAGTGTTCGCTCCTTTTCTAGCTTGATCGTTCGCTTTTTCATTACCTTCTATCCCTTCTTGGGCTGGCAGCCAGTGTAGGAGAATTTGACAGCATACTTTTTGGCTATTCGTCTGACATTTATTTAAGACGGTCCCACACGATGTGGCGAACACCTTCCAACGTTGGACACGCGGACATTTGCCACATCTTGTGGGCACGCAGAGATCCATGTGTCCAACGTTGGAGGCATGTTCGGGCTCTCGTCGGTAAATTTTACCCGCGTCAAAGGACCTTCCAACGTTCGAAGCTTTGTTCGATGCGCCCCCATACGGGTGTGATCACGTGGCTGATATTTTATTGGGGATTAGTAGCGGCCTCGCTTTTAATGTTATACCGTGGTGTTTTCACGCTGCAAATTTTTTGTGTTTTTTTTTTGTCAAATTTATTTTTTGCCAAAAATATGTAAGTACAAACATAGGTATATAGAAAGATTAATTATTATTGTTTTTTTTTTGTGTTAATAAATATGACAGAATGATAGAATTTTTAGTTATTACATTCACTTTGTGAAAACACTTAAATTTTCTTTTATTCATTCACTTTTTTTTATTCATCAAAATTTTCTTCTCATATTAGATACGTGAATTAGTTTTTACTTTTTACTAGAATTACTTTTAAAATTTTCCGTTTTTAGTTGAAATGGAGTGGAACAATGAAATTACTATGGAATTTATTTCACTTTATGAAAATCATCCTATTTTATGGAATCTAAAACATTGCGGACATAAAAACCGAAATGCTTAAAGATGCTTGGCTTGACATTTCTAAAGAAATGAGCATTGTCTTCTCCATAGCAGAAGTTTTTAGTTTAGCGCAACTTAAAACCATAGTATAAGGAAACTAGTAGCTTTACTCCTTGTCAAATCTTTTGTTCTTTTTCTGCCACTTTATATGACCTTGTTCTCGCGTCCCGTGACCACTGACGTAGCTGTATAGTTGTGGTCTGTAACTAGGCATAGTATAGTCGTGGCACTCGCCATAGTTTCACAGAGATGTATTTAGGAAAATATGAGTTCACAATAAACTAAAATAAAGTAAATTGATCATTGAGTGAAAATTTGCTTGAACAGAATATTTTTACATTTTGTATAAGTAACAATTCTTCTGTATCTGAAAATCTTCTGATGGGAAGAAATGCGGAAAAAATATATAATGACATATTTTTATATTATTATCTATTTCAAATATTTTCTACAACTCTTTTTAATTTAAAACAAGTTTAACTTTAACACTAATGTGTTTGTTTTGTAGTAATATATTGGTTAGATGATTTTCATTGGATAACTAATACATTGAACAACACATTGTACTAAATAATAAGATAAGATATTTAAACTTCAATAATTGCTAATAAACATTACAGAAATTTCAAAAGAGAAAAGAAGCAAGAACAATGAGAAATAGCATCACTACTTTCTCACGTAATAAAAGTCCCGAAGGTACCAAAAGAATCGATAATTAATAATTTCGAGTCCCGGTTCTTTGATATCTCTAAAGAACCGGGAATTTTCGGTTCTGAACCCTAGTTACCATATTATCAAGAAATTATGTTTTTTGACTAAAAACTAGAAAAAAAATCAGATTTTTAAAGAAAAAAATGCGCAGAAAAATCCTCATATTTCTAGGGCCAAAATATACTACCCTTAAAAATATTTCCACTTATTTAAGACTCACTCTGTATAGCTATTCACGGTTATGGTACGTTAGGTTAGATTAGGGATAGCGTTTCCGGAACCGGAGCGGTTTTTCGGAACCGGTAATTTCGGTACCATGCCTATAAGGAACCGGGATTTCCAGTTTTTTTCGGTACTTTCGGTACTAGCAAATTTTTGTTTAATGATGGTGCAGTTCGTTAAACAGCAAGCAAGAGATGGTTGTCAAAAGTAAAATCGATAAAAAATGAAGTTTAAATAAAAATAATATCAAATTATTAAGTAGTAATCAGTCATGAGAAAATTAACTTTAACACAAACATAATCACAAATGACTCTCAAAAAAAAACTCAAAGCACAATTTTTTGAATTATTACTACAACCACCTTACAACGTAAGGCACTCATTTTTTGTCAATCCGTCTCTGTGCTGAGACGCAACGCTCGAATCTCGCAGGTCGATGGACGGAACTCAACTGAAACGCTCTGCAATCTGCCGATATTCGACAGATTGTAAAAACTGTCAGAAAATATTTGGGAGAGTGCAACTACTCTTTTCCTTCTACTATGTTAAAACTATCATACCAGCGGCAATCCCAAGGATTTAATATATTTATATTAGTCATATCTGCTCAAGCTAAGTACGACACTGAATCAATTTATCCCATCGTGTAGGAGACACATTTGCCAATTGCAATATTGTCGAAAAGTGTGTCAAATGTTGGTTCCAACGTTGGAACCATCGTATAGGACCGACATTATACGAACTTTTGTCTTGTTCTAGGGCCAAATTGAGGTGAGCATCTTATCCCGACTGAGTCAAGAGAATGCGGACGAGTTCAATTTCGTCCGTGCCTACGAGTGCTTCCAGCACAAGACACACACCTGTCTGGTTTTTGAGATGCTGGAACAGAACCTGTACGATTTCCTAAAACAGAACAAGTTCAGCCCGTTGCCGCTCAAGTATATCAGGCCTATTCTGCAACAGGTCTTGACAGCCTTGCTGAAACTTAAGGTAAACAATTGAAATATTGATTATTTTTAGTATCTAGCAGTAAATTTAGAAATTTTATACTTATAAACTTGTACAAAAAATAGACTAACAAATATCGTAATCTTAAATTATACAGGATGTTCATAATTCCACACCAAACTTTCTAAAATATAAAATAACTAGCGTGTACCAGCGACTTCGTTCGCGTCGAATTAATCATTTGTAACGATGATGATAAAGCAAAGCAAGAATTTCCATTAACATACAAACTGGATAAAATTTTCTCACATTTATGTCAGCATGAGAAAAAACAATATGGCGATATTATTATATAACTTGGTAATATTTGAGGGGTAGTTTCCTCTCGTTGGAATTTGACTTTCGAAAAATCCGTTTGCCAAAAATAAGCTTTTTACGTCAAGCAGTTTAAGCAGAATCGTGGTTAATCAATTACCCAACTTTTTGGAACACCCTGTATGATTTTTAAAAAATTTCAAAATATGTAAAAAAACGAAATAAATTATGCTTGTCCAAGCGTTTTCCCGAAGGACTAACCGTTTTTTAAATAACAAATATTGTAAAATTTGAGGGGTGTTTTCACCCTCTTGGAATTTGAGATTCGAGAAATCCCTCCTTATCGAACCTCCACACCCCACAGTCAATCCGTTTGCCAAAAATCAGGTTTAAACGTCAAGCAGTTTAAGCAGAATCGTGATTACTCAATGGTCATATTTTATGAAACTCCCTGTATAAATTTATAAAAAATCTTAAAATATGTAAAAGAACGAAATAAAATATATGTGTTTAAGAGTTTTTCCGAAAAACTCACCGGTTAATATATGAGGGATAGTTTCACCCACTTAGAATTGGAGTTTCGAAAAATCCCTTCTTATCGAACCTCTACACCCTAAAGTCAATCTGTTTTCCAAAAATCAGCTTTTTACGTCAAGCGCTTTAAGCGTGGTTAATCAATGACCAGATTTTTCGAAACACCCTGTATACATTTTTAAAAAATCTTAAAATATGTAAAAAAACAAAATAATATATACGTGTTTAAGCGTTTTTTCGGAAACTTGACCGTTTTTTTAAATAAATAATATTGTAATATTTGAGGGGCGGTTTCACCCTCTTGGAACTGGAATTTCGAAAAATCCCTTCTTATCGAACCTCTACACCATAGAATCAACCTGTATGCCAAAATTGAGCTTCTTACATTGAGTGGTTTAGGCAGGATCGTGATTAATCAGTATGTCAGTTACTTAAGGATTTTATATATTAGTATAGATAAAATGAGATTATATCAAGTCTAGAAATTACAAAATCTTCGCTTAACATTTCAATTCTTCACTTGTAGCGTTTTTTAAACAACTACCACTGCGAACGGCAGCTTTTCATCGGAGAGCAGTCGTGGATAAGGTATTTCACTAGAGGGAAAATTAATCAATAATAATAAACAAAAGATATATAGATATTGGGCGCCAGGCATGTACAGAGAAAGAAAACACAGTTGTATATTACTTAAAACTAATGACTATATTCATTCATGATGTTCGTTGCTGATACATGACTTTGTAGAGTTCTAGTGAATATGTAGTGGTTATATGTCAAAGAAAGTGGTGGTAAGAGTTGTACTAAATATCTATGAAAACGACTATGATAAAATACAAGAAATGTAAAGTTTAAGAGAATGAATGAAATGTAGCATTACTTTATTAATTTGATATATTTTATATGATGTTAGAGTGCAATAATAATATCTATAAAAAAGTAATACTATTACAAGACATAATGCAATGAAACCTAAGATCTAAATTATATTTTAACTACTAAATCGACATGAATGTTCTTAACAATCTAACCACTCAACAAAGTCTATACGATATTATTTAAAATGTACGTTACTGTTTAAGACTGAAAACATTTTAGATGTTAAATGCAAAACTAGAACTTAAATATACACTTAGCTGTTCTTTTATGTAACCCTGCTTCAAACAGTAGCAGCGCGAGGAGGTCTAGCATCTCTGTACTGTCTGTCGGCGATCCAGGCTTAGAAATGGGGTGAAGCAGCACGGGGCTCAAGCCACATCCACGCTGGGGCACTCTATGTGAACACAAATCAATCCTACTGGGGACACTTGTCCATGGGACATCCGTCCATAAGATAGTGGCACAGGAGAACACTACTAGGACCTTGAAAAATAGTCCATACCTTGGACACTTGTCCGTAAGACCCTAAGAACACGAAACTCTTGTTTAAAATCAAACACCGTCTAATAAACAAAATGAACCTACCTCGAAATACTTCCGAGGGCTCAATAAATAATAAACAATCTGTCCTTTCTTCCAAATGACATTCTGGAGGACAAAAGCAAAGGGACGCCAACGTGCCAGCCAAATACAAATACAAGTTGGGACATCCGTAACTCTACCCTAAAAATATTCAATAATAATAACGAATCTAAAAGGATAATATCTCATCTTTACCTGTTGCTTTGAAATAGCAGCTGATTCAGATTATACAGCAAGATTTAAATAATCACCATTTCTAAAAGCTGGGATAAAGCAGAGCGTCAAAACAAAGTGAGGTTAAGCACGGAGAGTTGACAGAAGCGATGTTGACAGCGCGCGCCTTCACAGAATAGTAACAGGGTTGTGTCGAACGATCACAGGGTTGGCGACTAGGGAACGTAAAAATTACGCGTCAAATAAACTATCCGGCCTGAACGAGAGGGAATCCGGTGATGATAGGCCAGACATCATATATTATATATAAAAAAGACATGTAACGAACTAAAAACGTTACACACTTTATGTACATTGTGTATTACGATTATTGCTTAAAATTGAAGGACGAATTGAAATATGCAATAATGTACAGGGGGTTAACCATTAAAAAAAATAAAGTTTGATATGCCACAACTTTATGAGCGACCCTGTATACTTAAATTTAATAGTAGCTATTACAACAGTATCACAGTTTCGGCAGAATGGTATTGTTACGTTTTTCGTCGGTTCCGTGTGGATAGAAAGTCACAATTTATTTAAACACTATTTATTTAACACTAATTAACAAAAATAATAACGATAAAAGACTTATAGAACTATTTACAAACGATTTATAACTAAGAATTTATTTTGAATTTTAGCGCGTCAACTGTATATTTATAACTGCCCTCTCTAGGCCACTGCCGCCGGCTTTTATACCGACAGGTAAAAGAAATCTAGAATAGTCCTAAGATCGTTAGACGCATAGAGAAGGTTTTCGAATGTTCTCGTATGTACGAGTCCATTCTAGTGGGTCTCGATTCTTCTCGAACGAATGAATCATTGCGGTGTCTATGCGATGTGCAAAGGTCATCAAGGGCGGAGCCATATTGTGAGGTTAGGTCGAGTCCACACCGGCTCGCAACACTGCCCCTTCTTAGGCACATGCTCGTCCGAGAGATATACGGTGAATGAAAGGTATTTGCAAAGCTGGCCCCTGGTACATTGCGAAGTCTGGTAGAAATAGCAGTCTACAGTTTTCTCTCCCGATCTCAGCTTTGGGTTGTAGCAGCAAACAAGGATCTCGATTCCCGTAAATCTGAACAAGACTTCAATCATGTTCCGGATTGTACGCCAACTCAAACCATCGAGTCCACACGCCAGCTTCGGAATGGCTAATCGTGTAATGTTGTTGTTTAGCAAGGCTTCTCTAAGTTCAATCAGGGTCTTCCATAGATTGAGACTCACTTGGGGGCCATTCCTTGGTGACTAGGTAGAAAATGTGCCTTGCTTGACCAAGTTCATTGTCGGTTAGCCTCAAGACGCTTCGAATCTCTGGATCCTGTCGGCGTAGTTCTCCGACTCGCCCAAACTTCTCATTGAACGTCGCAGCGATTCCTCTGGACATCCGCAAATCTCGGGCCACACAGTGAGCGAGCGAATAATCAGGAGCCACGAAAAAGAGGTCTCGTTGTTCTTCTTTGGTTACACCATAGCGAGCCTTCTGACTGCTGTTGTATCGGGCCATGAAATCGTCAAAGGACATCTCCGAATCAGGGGGATCAAAGCTGCAGGTTCTCACGGTCCCAGCACGATCTTCTATTTCGCCTTGATAGGGGCTCAAACGGTTGAAATGAATTACCCTCGGCTTTCCTTTTGGCAATTTTCTGATACGGTATACGACGTCATTAATCCTATCCATGACTTCGTATGGCCCTTCCCACGAGGATTGTAGCTTCGGAGATAACCCACGATGCTCAGCTTGAATGTCGTAGTGTTCCTTCATTCGGTCACTAGCGCTTTGAATATCTATGCGGACTCGCTGATGGATGTCGTCCATCCTTTGGCGTAGTCTATGGACATAATCTTCTCCGGCGACATCTTCTCCCGGTCGGCAACCAAGCTTCACATCACAAGGTAGGCGCACTTCCCGTCCCATAACGATGCTGGCTGGAGTTTGCCCTGTGGATTCTTGGACGGATGAACGACAGGCCAACAGGAACAGGTGAAGAAATTTGTCCCAGTCTCTTTGGTGGTCAGAGACTACTTTGGCCAAATAACGGTTGATGGTTCTGTTCATGCGTTCAACCATCCCATCGGATTGTGGATGCAGAACAGTCGTCCTGGTCTCGCGGATGTTAAGGACTTCACAGACGCCTTGGAACAGATTGGACTCAAAGTTTCTTCCCTGATCTGAATGCAGCTCCATGGGAACACCAAACCTGCTGATCCATTCCTTAACAAGAGCATCAGCAATGGTGGACGCTTCTTGATTTGGCAACGCGTAGGCCTCGACCCATTTGCTGAAGTAATCCATTACTACCACAATGTATTTGTTGCCAACGTTCGTCTCCGGGAAAGGACCTGCCACGTCGATTGCTATTCGTTCGAAAGGACTGCCTACATTGAACTGGCGCATTGGAGCTTTACCACGCTTTTGTGGTCCATTGATAGCAACGCAAACGTCGCATTTCTTACACCAGGCCCTCACGTCTTCTGTGCAGTTCACCCAATAGAACCGTTCACGCAGCTTGCCA